TCCAATAGACATACAGTAATGCCGTGGAAATAGTAGCTCGAATCGGACACTTGTGCACGAACTCAATACCACTCAATGGCACCGACATATAATTCAACATTCCTAATGGTATAATCCTTAAACAACATACACTACTCTCTAACCATATCCATCATCAAAGACTTATGCGTCCATTTACAAGCCATCCCTTTCCTATAGGCCAATACAGTATACGACATAAACCAACCGAACTTTGTTTAGAGTCTTTTTAAATTAAAATAATGTAATAAACTATGAAATACTGTATTTAAAATTTAATTGTACGACAAATTCAACGATGTATAACAGTCATATATCGTGTTATATTGATAAAGTAATAGCGCAAAATTAAATTAATATTATATAATTAGTTCTGAATGCATGCCAACAAATTAAACATATAAGTTAGTATAAATTGTTATCTAATAAGTAATTGAATAAGTTCCAATAAGAACCTATTTAAATAGATTTAGTTTCTAAATATAAATAACTAAGTGGTGATTGAGGTTTTCTATTGATAGAGACAATAAAATAAATGATTAGATCTTTTTTGGCTTCAATGAGTGTCAATGTTTCGGTCAATTAGTAGCGAACATGACTTCAATGCAAGTGACAGAAAGAGGCGATATTTGCCACAAATTTTAGTACAAATTGCTTACAAATACGCCTTTTAATCATTAATAAAGTTTTGTTTACCACAAACAAAATAGTTTTGCTTTCAGATTATAAGGACCTCAACAAAAGTCTGCTAAATATTTGCGGTCACAATAACTGATAAAAGAATTGCTGTTGTGTTCAGATTTGAACGAATAATTTGAACCACAATTTGAATAGAAATTCTTTGAATATTCACTACAATATCGTCTACAGTATAGCCGAGAGTATTGAGAATCTTATCAGCAAATAAATACGGGGTTTGCAGACATTGATGTAAGACTTAGTTATAAATGTTGTGAATTAGGTTTTGATATTCGTATAAAACAGTTGTTGTTTTCCCACAGAATTATTACTTAAAGTAATGCAATAAATTGCTCTTCAATTCAATTCAATCACAACGAATGTCTTATTAGACATCGTTTTCACTAAATGTATAACAAATCATAGATTTGAATAAATTTAGTATTCATATAATAATCAGTTTTAATTTTATAAAAATAGTTAGATGTAAGAGTATTTTATATGCTTACGAGTTAACCAAAACTACAGTGTACTGTACAGTACTGTATGTTGTATAGCATGATCTTAAAACCTTAAATTTTGTGAATAAAAATATGTTTCATATTTGTTGACAAGATTTAAAATAAAAACATTAAAAATAAGTTTATTTTAAAAATTAAATTTTATGCATTAGTTCTAATAAATTATTAAAAACTTCTTCAATAATTAAAATTAATGTAAAATAAAACATTTGAATATTGTAATAAATTATATAGTTTGTTGTCAAATGAAGTCATTTTTCGAAGAGTTCTCTGAACTTATCAAATTCAAAGCTTAATTTTCAATCATCTTATGTAATAATATAATATTACAAAATGATATTCAGACGTTATGTAACATTATATTACACTGTAAGTAATATTTTATAAAATTATTATACAAGATACATCTTTTACAATAGTCTTATTATAAATTATTAAAGTAATAAAATATAATAAAGTGTTAAAATTAATAATTACAATGATAAATAAGTATACTATCAATTACTTAGCGTACAAATAAACAAATTGTTTTTTAAACTGTATTTCAAAGACCCACAAATCAATAATCAATTATATTATATCTATATCTCAAAATTAATAATTACAATGATAAATAAGTATACTATCAATTACTTAGCGTACAAATAAACAAATTGTTTTTTAAACTGTATTTCAAAGACCCACAAATCAATAATCAATTATATTATATCTATATCTCAAAAATATAGTCGACTAAAGGGAGAGATTAGATGATTTTGTTTACGTCTCAAATGTTTTTAAAAAGATAAAACTCTAAAAACAAATTTGAATTTAAACTAAAGAAAAATAAGAGATTTTTGAGATCCAACTCGAGATAGAGTTGAAAAATCGAATTGAATTTGTTGTGAATGTCTTCAAAACAAAAACTTTAAGTGGGAATCAAATCGACGGCACGAAAGCTTTCATATCATTCAAAACATCTCGTGAGTAAAATAAATGGAAAAAACATTTCGTTGAATCGCATCTATTTTTGCTAAATTATAAGCAATTTATTTAAAATAATAGAAAATATTATTATAGAAATATAGAAAAGCAATGACAAAACAATGAAACTGTATACTTTGATAAATAAATCATGCGATTATATTAATGTTGCGATTATGAAGTAAAATTAGTCTCAGTAAGATAGGTTATTAAGAACCTTAATTATTTACTAATCTCAAATTATCAATGATCTCAAATTTAGATTCTGAATTAATTGAAGCTAATTGAAATTAAGTATCAATGAGATGTTGTGATTAAACTATGGAGTCCAGATATAAATTATATTTCTAATTAAAAGTTTATTATACATCATAAGTCATTAGATTTTTAAAAATCTATATTATGTAAGAATAAAACTACAAAGTTATACAACAGTTCCTACAGTTTTAAATATTTAATTAAATTTATATTATTTATATTCTGAATGATAAGTGATGTCATTTTGTAGGATTATTGTCAGATGACTTTTGAATTATAGGATTCACGCATAAAAATAAGGCAAAATGTGTTTGATTAGTTTATAATTATTTGTCCATTTGGAGTATTTGTCTTAAAACTGACTTTGAAAGCATATCTAATGCATTTAATTAGGAATATAAATTATATATTGTTGACAATTCAAATTATTATATTTTAATTATTATCTATGTTCTTATAAATTAACACTATTACATTATAAAATATACACAGAACTGAAAGTTTAATTTTTTTAGAAAATTATTTTAAAGATTATGTTTAAAAAGTTTTAATATTTTTTAAGTAGGAATTCATTGAGATTAATGAAAAGGTCTAAATGTAATGAAGTTTCAAATGATATAAAATATATCGAGTTTTATTGAAATAGACTGATATAAATGTGAGTAAAGCTTTATTTTTAGCCATTCAAGACATTTGTAAAACTTTTTCAATGGAATATCATTGATAAACAAAACGATATTTAATGCTCAAAGCAAACCAGTGTTGACGTCAGTGGAGTAACCCATAGAATATTCTTTAGTCTAATAATTGAATAAATAAGAGAACAGAATATACAAGACTCGAGTGGATGTCTGAAGACTCTGGCATTTGTGAGATCTGTTGCCAGTCTTGTGCTCAAGACTTTCAGCAGTTGTGGTCCGACATAAAGGCGCCTGAATTACAGCATTTGAATGGAGGCCACAATTGGAGCGTTTAGTTATTTGTTAGACTTTCTGCAGTCGGAGTCAGTATTCATGTCAATCTAAGACAAGTATTTCCTCAATCAATAAATGCTAACTTTTGCGCACTCTTTCAGTCCATAGTTTAGGCTTAAGTTTTGCCAAAAACTACTGTACTTTTCAATTGTCTTCAGACACTGTCTTTACTGTTCCCTTAAATGACCTTTTCTTTGGTATCATTCATAATACAAGTACTCCATTATATTTCAAACGTATTATGGCTTTAAGTTTGAAATATTCAAATCATTTCTGATATAAAGTCCAAGTTTATATTTTATTATAGTCTACATTCAGTTCTTAAGTCATATTTTGTTAAATTAATTTTAGGCATTTTAAATTCATTTTTTAAATTCTCATAAATTGATTGTCGAAATTATTGAATTAAAATAATAAGTTAAATACTGTCAAAACATGAAATCATTTCAATTTCAGCAATAAACTTTTATTTTAAAATCTGAAATTCTGTAAAGTTTCTAACATTTCGCATTTTATCGATTTTGAGAAATTAAATTCATAAAAGCTTGCACTCATTTGTATCTCTACAAAGTTTGCAATGAATTAATATATTCTTCATTAATCTAAAAATTCTTGTCATTTAAGTCTTAAAGGATTAGTTATGACACCAATGATTGTCAGCAAAACAAATTTAAACTACAATTTTGTTCTCCTTTAAGATTCAATATTAAATAAATCTCTTTTGTTTTCAATTTATATAAAAGTGTTGTTTTGATAAATAATTTATTTCTTAACAAAAGAATAATTAATTACAGCAAAGAATTAAGTGTTACACACAATATTCTACAGTATATTACTGTACTACATATGTGTGATACTAAACTTTTGCAACTAATTTACTTAAATGTTGATATAATTGCAACTAAAATCACCAATTGAATTTTCATAAAAAAGTATATAGAATCTAAAATATGGTATAATAAGACCCTGGAGTCTGTCAAAAATTGCATCAATGCTTGTCCCTGAAGAGGGATAAGAGATGCGGTTTATGTATGGGTTGTCAGCAAAACTGGGCTCACTTTGCGATCACTGCCACAGCTGTGCCCCCCTATGGACGAGAACAGAGCGCCCATAGACACCACAACCACACATACCTTTGCCATCATTTTCATGATTGCAGTTCTTATGGCATACCGTGTCTTATATTGCATTCACTGCCAGCATATACTCTCATTCATTCATTTACTCACAATTAATCCAATATAATGACACACTTTTTATGTTAAATCTAATGATTTAAATTAGTTTAAATACTTTTATAATTATTTTATTAACAAATAGACATTTAAATAGCATTACATTCAGTGATAACGTGTAGGCAAAGGGAGTGAATCGTAATATTGAGTGCTTTGTGTATAGAATGCAATACAAAAGCAGTGAATCAATGACTGGGGGTTCAGAGGAACGTGTATTTCGTAACATTATGTGTGACTTGACCTCAATATTTGAGTAATTTGTGGACATTTTTGATGATAATTAGTGGTCAAAGAAGTGGACATTGAGTTGAATTGATTGCGAATACAGTGTCTGAGAGGCAATGGATTTAGTGATGGAAGAGAAGCAGATGTCGAGTGAGTCAGCGCTAGTGTTGGGCTCTATGTCCGGCCAATTAGGTCCACAAATGGTGACATCGAGTGTGCCATCAGTGCAGACATCGTTCGCGGGAGGCGTCCCCACACTCCTCACCCCTTCCCAGTTGTCTTCGCTCACCATTAGTCCCGTCCAACAGTCGGCGAACTCGACATCAAAATACGCGCAACTCTTGCAAGTGATCGAAGAGTTAGGTCTGTATTGACACCACTGTTGAGACAACGATTGCTAACTATTATCTCATTCCTCAGGCAAAGACATACGTCCGACGTATTCGGGGTCCAAGAGCTCTGCCGAGCGGCTCAAGAGAGGTATAATTCACGCGAGAATTCTTGTGCGCGAGTGTCTCATAGAGACCGAGAGGAATAACGCCAGGAACTGATTGTCACACCATTTGTTCATTACATACAAAACCATTAAAACTATTTCTATTTATTTATAATCTAATGAATCATTATTTGCAATGATTTTGGTTTTGATATAATTATGTATTTATTTATTCATTGATAACTCAATAATAAATTGGCATAAAATATAGCAATCATTCAAACAATTCGTAGAAAATTATCAATAATTTGCAAAAAACACGAGATTTATAACCACTAAAAACGAGAGACGTTTCCAAATCACGATTAATTGTACTGAAAATAATAGACAACCAAATGATTTGTCGTCTGAATTGATATCTTGAGACAAATGCCATTAAATGGCGACGGATTTGACGGCTTTCTGGGCGGCGTCGTCCAGATCTGTGGCCGATATGATGTCCGACACTTCGCTGAGCAGAGCTCTGGCCGTCTCGGCGTTGGTTCCCTCGAGTCGTACAATGAGCGGCACTTTGACGAGACTTCTGGCGGCGATCAGTCCCTTCGCAATGGTCTCGCAGTTGACAATACCGCCGAAGATGTTGACTAAAATGGCGCGAACTTTCTGGTCAGCGGTGATCAAACGGAATGCATTCTCGACGCCCAACTGATTGACGGAACCGCCGACGTCTAAGAAGTTGGCCGGACTTCCGCCGTAGTGATGGATGATATCCATTGTGGCCATCGCTAGGCCGGCGCCGTTCACCAGACACGCGATGTTGCCATCCATGGGAACAAAGTTCAAGTTGTAGTCGCGCGCCAACCGGTCCCTCGGGTCCTCTTCGGCCGAGTTTTCATTTTCGATTCGTTTCATCCATTGATGTCTGAACGACGCGTTTTCGTCGAAATTGATTTTGGCGTCGAAGCACACCATCGTATCCTTTGTGGTGATCCCAAACGGATTGATCTCCACCTGAAGAGCATCTAATTTAATGAACATTTTATACAATCGCGAGATCTGTTTGGCCGCGTCTTCCACCAGATGTCCGCTCAGACCTAACCCTCGTTTGGCCACATCTGTGGCCAACTCTATGTTCAAGTCATCGGCGTTGGACTCAATAGGAATGGGAAACTTGTGAATGGCTTCGGGAGTCTTCTCGGCCACCTGTTCGATGTCAACCCCGCCCTCCTGTGAGGCCACTATAACGGGTCCACCACTGCCTCTGTCCAGAAGTATCGCTAAATACAGCTCTTTCTTAATGTCGAGCGCCTCCGCGATCATCACTTTGTTCACTAAAACTCCACTTTTGGTGGTCTGAGCGGTGATGAGGTAGTCGTTCAGCATTTTGGCACAAACTTCAGACACTTTTTGCTTGTCTTTAGTCAACTGCACGCCTCCTTTCATCGACGAGTTCTTGAAGTAACCCTTCCCTCGACCGCCGGCCAGCACTTGGGCTTTGATCACATATTCCTCGACATCAGCCAAAGAGAGTTCACTCGCATCGCCCGATGGATTCGGTGAGTCAGCCGAAGGACATTCACTGTACTTCGAGTTCTTGTCGCCAATTATCGACTTTATCTCATCGACACTCTCGATGACACAGAACCGCTGGACTCTGACGCCATTGTTTCGCATCAATTGCTTGCTTTGGTATTCTTGGAGATTCAGACATCTCTTTTGGCAGCACTTCTGCAACACAGGAATCGATCGCTTCAGCAGTGAATTGATTGGATATAAATGTCTTAACTGTAGAGCCATTCTTCTAGTACTTAAGAGTTACCACTAAATCATAAGAAAATCATGTGATAAGTGAATAAATGGTTAAATTGTGTGCAAAATCAGACGTTTATGTGTTGTCGTATGGGATGTGGTGTTCAGTGAAGACCTGTCTTGCAATCCATGGGAGATATCATTGAATCAAATGGTAAACAAAAAAGTGATAAAAAACTTATCGAAAAGTGTTTTCATATGTCGTAAGCATAGCATTGAATGGCATTGCAGTGCGACTGCGCTCTCACTGCCATCACATGTCAACCATTGGACACATGTTTCACTCATTTCTTCATTTCATTTCACGTTTTCATTGAATTTAAAGTTTTTGAAATAAATTATTGCAAATTATATTGAATTCAAAGAATGGGTCGAAAACGCAAAGAGGAAGATGTGAGCGATGAAGACATCGATTTCGAGGATATCGACGGTGAGGAACCGTTGGAGCAAACTGTGGACTCCGGTCAAGAAGTGGATGATTTGGAAGTGGAAGAGACCAACGATGAGATAACTGATGAGATAACTGATGCTAAGGACGTGCAGAAGGTGTTGTTCCCGGAGACCAGTGTCTTGTCTCAGATCAAGAATAAGTTAAGACGTCGTGAGATGTATGTGAAGCTCAAGAAGCAGAAGAAAGAGGTCTGCCATCCATTCACGCATTCATTGGTTTCGTTTGTATTAACTTTGGTTTTGTTGTGATATTTAGGCGAAGAAAGAGTCGCGAACTGAGAGACAAAATATGGCGAAAGCTATGGGAGAAAAGGCCACAAAACAGGTGCCCAAGACTATTGAGTCGATGCGAGAACCCGACGAAACAATGGTTGATCCCGAAGATGAAGAGGTGAAGATCGACGAGTCGTTGGACGAGATGTCCGCGTATTTTCGCAAAGACGTTGAGCCGAAGATACTCATCACATCCAGTGATAATCCGCACACAAAGACCATTAAGTTCTGTCGAGAACTCAAGCAAAGCATTCCTAACGCAGAGTTCAGGTTTAGGAACAGATCCAGTGTTAAAAAGATGGTTAAGGCAGCCATCGATAGGGATTACTCCGACATCTTGATTGTGAACGAGGACTGGAGGAAACCCAGTGAGTGCTGCGACTGTTCCTATAATTAACACTTTATTGATCTGTATTTATATGATAGACGGTGTACTTCACGTCCATTTACCCGACGGCCCCACCGCTCACTACAAACTTAGTTCCGTTCGCTTTTGTAAAGATATAAAGGTTTGAATGATTTTGATCTCACGAATCAGAATAACAGTATCGATGTACCGGTAATAATGTATTGAATGTCTGTCCAGAATCGGGCCAAATATAGCGCCCACCGACCGGAAGTGATTCTCAATAATTTCAACACAAGACTCGGCCACACAATCGGCCGAATGTTTGCCTCAGTATTTCATTTCGATCCTGAATTCAAAGGCCGACGAGTCGTGACTTTTCACAACCAAAGAGATTATATATTCTTTCGACATCACAGGTGAAGCTGTCTTTGTCCTCAAAATGCCGTTTCATTTATTTGATTATCTTTTGAAAACAGATACGAATTTAAGAACAACACCAGAGTTGCCATACAAGAGATCGGACCCCGATTTACACTAAAGCTACGGTCTCTACAAAAGGGAACATTTGACTCGAAATTTGGTGAATATGAATGGGCTCTTAAGGTATTATGTCTTCACATTTGGTATACTTTTCTAACAAATTCTCTTCAATAGCGTCACGACTCGGGAATAAACAGAAGACGATTCGCGTTATAGTTATGTTTTAAGAATTCATTCATTCATTTGGTATATCAATAAACTGTTTATTTCGTGCAAATAATTATTAAAATATAGGAATATATCAATTATAACCAATAATAATATGAATAATAATAAAGTGATAATTCATTCAATTGTCATAATTTTGTACAAAAGTATTGAGGTTATTGTCATCAAATGTCTCGAGTGTGTCGAGCAATGGTTTCCTGACCTTAACGGGTGAACCCTTCCTCTTACAACTCTTCCAATTGATGGCTTCAAGTGAGTCATCACTGGCCATACCATTGGGCATAAAATTTTGCGTGTTTTTCATGTACCACTTAATGCCACTCCTGGGAAGTGATTCGTAATAAACAGAATCCGGTTGATAATAGGATTCAAAGATATCTTCGTTTCGAGACATTTGTAACGCGATGTAAGAATGAATCAAAAGACGCGGAAATCTAGTGGTGAAGTACTCAACAAATTGTTTGGGAATCGCGCCGAGAGATTGCTGTAATTCTGGCGGCAGTTCCCTATAGTGATGGCGTTTGTTGCGCATCGCTCGCAATAAGTCACGTACGGATGAGCCCCTGTAGGAGCGGAACTTCTTGAGGTCGGTCTGCAACTCAATGGATATGTGTCGCCTCCAGTCCCCTTTGCACACATCGATCCCTCCGCTCTCTAACGACTGCACGACCGGCGAATCGAAGGCCTCTTTCTCTATGCGGTCGGACACGTCCTGCAAGAACTGCAGCGATTTGTTTGGGTCCCAAAACAACGGGTGTTTCACTACGGACTCAATGTTTGGTCGAGCGCTGGGGTCGGAGTTAATCATAGCGTAGATGAGACTGAATTCTCTGAACGAGTCTTCAGTTTTAAGTTTATTGATGTCGAACTGACCGATCAGTATATTCGACTGTCTCTGCAATAGGTCTCCGAATGGGTGCTCGCCTTTGGTTAGTGTGTAATAACATAGACATCCCATCGAAAAGATGTCGATAGGCTTTGATGGCTTGAATGTGAGTCTATCTAACTTTGATTTTAATACTTCCGGTGCTATCCAACCCTCAGTGCCCTTCAGCGCCGCCGACACTTCAGTGGATAACTGGTCCGAAGTTAATACTTTAGAGACACCAAAGTCAGAGATCATCACTTTTCTGGTGTTATTAGGAGGTAATGGCAATGATATTAAGATATTTTGCGGTTTAATATCACGATGAATGACATTCAATGAGTGAAGGTGTGCTAATCCAAGGCATGACTGCTGCAGCACTTGTATGGTGTCTACCTGTGCGTCGCCCTCCCTCTCGATATAGTCTGCGAGAGTAAAGTCGGCTAATTCTATGGCAATATAGCGAAACATCTCATCGGATTCGGTGGCAAAATAGCGAATCAGATTGGGATGAGTTAGCGAACGAAGCAGTTCTATCTCCCGGTTCGCCAAAATGAAGTGATCGGCCACTACTCGCTTCACAGCTATCTGTTGCTTGTTTTCGAACAAACCCTTATAAACACAGGTCCCCGAACTGCCCCTTCCTATGATTGATTTGGGCTCAAACCTAATCTTCCCGACACTCATCCAATTGGTGTCACTGTTTGTGTTTTGGTATTTATTTTGTTTGGAATTTCGCGATTTCCAGTATATTATTAAAGCAATGGTTGTGACGCCCGACAGGAATGTGATGGTTGTGCGCAAGAGATCCGCATAATCATAGTTCACGTCAACATTACGGCTGTGTATCGATGAATTAGATATGATTAACGGCTCTCTGAATGGTTGCGATTTCTGTTCAGTCAACAGGTTAAGAGGCGTTTGACTGATTTGGAACTGAGGGTAGATTTGGCTCTTTGTGAGCTCCGGGTACTCGTAATAGCCGTAAACCAATATATTGAAATAGTCGCGAATAGAGTTGACCGACTTTTGCTTATCCGGGCCATCGATCAGCAGTTTTCGGTTGCGTTTGGTTGGGATGAGAGTTGTTTGCGTTAAGTCCACTAAAGTACTCAACGCGTACATCGACTTCGAGTCCGGCATTTCGCCGATATATAGCGACGGATATAATGGATTGCTTTGCCGTAAGTTTCGCGGGTTTACAGTCCCGCCGATCGTAGAGAAGGGCACTCGACGGAGCACTGGAGTGAAGCCGTCGTTGAACTGAAATATGGACACAATTGGCGACGAGAACTGATGCGTCCACAAGAATCTGTTGGCGCCGTCCGAGAGATCGATTGTCGCGATTCTTCCAGTTGTGCTCGAAGTCAAGTGAAGGAATTCGTAGGCGTTCTGTGGTATGGATGACACGGCCGACGACGAGTAGTCCACGAAAGTCAAGTTCCAGGTCTTCTGTTTGGTCTTCAAGTCAAATATGGATAACTGGTATTCACTTTTGCCCACAAATAACAGGTTAGACGTCTGCGTGTCGTAGGCAGTGGTGGTCATCGGCGGTGACGGACACATCGGTGTGTCTGCGTTCAGCACATCCACTCTCTCGCCGGTCACGGCGTTGATTGTAATCCATTCGTCGATCTTTTTGCCGGTGTATAGAATGCCATCAGAACTACGACAAGGACTCGAAGACACCAATTCACTGATAGTGAAGGGAAGCTTCTCTAAGGACTCCCTGTTGTCCGACTCCGTGTCCGCCGCACTGTTCACTCAATGAATACCAATCAATACATCATTAATACATGTTTTCATTCAATTCATAACTTTCAATAGATAGGCAACTATTAAAAAGTGGTCCCAAATCTGATCCCAAATCTGATCCCAAATCTGATCATAACATTCATATAAAACTGATTTCGATATTTGTGTTCAAAATAAGTGAAAGAGATTTGAGTGAAGATATGAAATATGTATTCATTGACTGCAATGAGGACTACAAGAGGTGTCAGACCTGAAGCCATTGTAGAGATATAGTGAGCCGTCTTTAGGGTCGGGAAGGAATAGGTTTCTCCTCCTGTGCTGACGAGTCATGTTCTCAATGTTTGGTAACTTCAGAATCGGCGACTCATTCAGAGACCACTTTATAAGACCCGATCGCTGGCCGATGGCGTGAAGAGTGCCGTCCAGAGTCGATATCAATAGAGATGGCTCTCGGATGGCCACTGGCTGTCATGGGATCAACCATTAGTGATCATTGCGTTGCATATGATATCATCAAATGAACGCAGAGTGGCAACAAATGCATACCTCATTGGCGGTGATGATCAGTGGCAGCACATGAAGAGTTAGCGCTAAAATCAATAAGTGGTACATAATTGGGTTGATTTGGTTGCAGTGATTGGCCAATAATTGGTGATTAAAGTCATTGTTTGTGAAGATATTCACTTCGCATTCATAAGCATTGAGGCATTCATTACCCAAAACCTGATCCCTTGTATGCATTCATTGCGTAATTGTATTGTTTGTCTCTGGGTTTAAATGTATGACAAATGCGTACAAATGCGAGCACAGTCTTGTGGACTCTACCACATGTGGCTCCAATGCAGTCTCAATGGGAGTGAGCAATAAGTTTTAGTGTCTTGTCTTATAACTCGTGTACTTGTGATCCAATTCTTATGCAATACGAGTGAATGGCATCGAAATTATATAGTTTTTGTAATTATCTTATTATCTATAATAAAGTAATACAATAATTGGTAATATATTACACTAATATTAATATAATAGTTCTTATCACTAGACTTTTAACATATTTAGCGCATTATATAAAAACTTAATCCAAGTTATAAGACCAGACTCTGGATGTCTCTAATCTGAAGATTTATTTGAATCAATGAATAATAGAGATTTTGGGATAAAAGACAATTTTTTTAAGACAATACAATTAGTAAAAGTAACAAGCACCACACATTGATAATCATTACTATATAGATACAAAATGTATATTCCAAATACTGTATATTCTTTAGTAAAGAATTTTTACATAATTATAAAAATTATCTTTATATTATATATAGTTTTATATGATTTTTGTCCTGTTATAACGTATATTAAATTTAATGTATTAATTAATCTAACGATTAAAGAAAATATTTGTAAGCCTCTAATTCAATAGTTTATTATAGATTACAATTTATAGCCTACAAAGAAGTCTTTGTTACCGATTTATACGTTCAAATAAAAACATGTGAATTGCAAACAATAGAGCTAGCACATTTCCAGATAAATTTTTTAATTATTATTCTCAAAATACATTTTTGACTAGGTAGTAAAAATAAGCAACAGTTTATCTCATAAATAATTTCTAAACGATAAATTGATGTTTATAAATGGTCAATGTTCAAATGTATCATATTTTATGGAAATATTATTTTTAGTTGTGTTTAATTTTGAAAGAATATGAATTAAAAATAAAATTAATAATATTTATTTAGCAAAATAATGCATAACAAGTTGTAATCACAGAAATTCATACAAACATATTACAAATCTCTTATAAATAGTTTCATATCTTATATAAAGTGGTAAAGAATTATACAAATTTATACAATAATTAAAATAAAATCGATCACATATTTTAATCTTTTTTCTACTATATTTTAATTTTGTTTTCAAATCTAGCAGTATTATAAATTTATGATTGTTTTTACCTTTTTAAATAATAGATGAGACTTTTGAAATGAGTAATAGGATTTGTATTTCATATTTAAAATTATATTTCAAAATATGATTATAAATAAAAAGTTTTTGTACAGTACTATTTGTACTATTTGTAAGTAAACATTTGTACAGTATACTTATTGTATTTTGAGATTCTGTATTAATTTTACACAAATTGTTTTCTAAAGTATTAAACAATTTTTTCGTATCACTAATTGTTTCATTATTATTACCTTTAAAAATACCATTTGTCTCACTATTAATATTTTTGAAATGAATTTCAATACGAGTCAATATACCTGAATGAACATGTTTGGAAATGTGCTTGTTTATATAATGCATGAATTTATCAAATATTTAGAGTAAATATTTCCAGAAATTGTCACTCAATTGAATTGAGACCAGAAATAACTGAAATTCTCTTCGTTTAGTCTAAAGAAACCTTTGATCGGATCCATAATCGACATCTGATATTAATTTCTGTTTTCTATAATTCATATCTAATAATTCAACTGATATTTGATAATATGTGTCATTGGTGTGGCACACACTAGACACAGGGCTTTCAACAAGTTTTCAATCTGTTTTCTCATTCATCACAAACAAATTGAGTTCAATTATTACTACAATGAATGTTCAATGAAATATTAATTTAAAATAATTCATAGTTTGTTGACTAATATGAAGTGCGAAGCGAAACAGATATCAGATTTAGTGGGAGAATGGGGTATATGGCAGAGGAATCTCACCATTTTTGTCTTCATCTTGACCGCACTTAATGCTTATAATGATTTAAGTTATACTTTCCATACATATGAAGTGGACTATTGGTGTAAAGATGTTCCCAACGATTATATGGTTAGTAATCAACTTATACAGTAGTATATAAAAATGAGACTACAAATATTGTATACTGTACAATGTACTCATATATGATCACAAAATACAGAATATATCGTCGGAATATAAATGTGTTCAATATGAAAGCCCTAACCAAACGTGTGATCAATGGAATTACAACACCACAGAATTTTACAAAACTATTAACACCGAGGTAATTGATTAAAATTGAAATTAATAATTCATTAATATAATGTTCAATAGTATGACTTAGTGTGTGATCGGTCTAACTATGCTTCCCTCAGCCAATCCCTTTATATGTTTGGATTCTTAATAACTGGATTAATATTGTCTCAATTTGCCGATAAATATGGCAGAAAGCCATTGGTTTGGGTATCGTTTATAATAGAAATAATAGCTCTAACATCGAGTGCCCTTTCGGTTAATATAACTCAGTATTCAATTTCTCGACTATTTGTCGGGCTATCAATGTACGGATGTTCCGGTGCGATGTGCACCTCTCGTATGTTCACAACATTATATTCAATGATTATTTAGTTTAATTAATTTTAACGTTTGTTAAAGTCTTGGAGAGTTGTGGACCAAAACATAGGTCTGATATCTACATGCTTTCTGGAATTGGTTGGGTTTTGGGCTGTGTAGTCATTCCCGGAACTGCCTTTTGGTTTAGAGATTTTCGATATATGAATTGGATTGCATTACTGCCCATTGGATTCTTAATGGTTTGGTTTTATTTCATACCGGAGTCTCCCCGTTGGCTCATCACCAATGGCCGCATATCTGAGGGCAAAGAGGTCCTGAGGAATATTATCAAGCAAAATGGATTAAGCGATCAAGACTTTGATGAAAAATTTGCTGAATTCACCAAACATTTACTGAGAGTAAGGAATTTAAATTTAAATATCTACAGAATTTTAATATAAAATAACCATGCACAAGTTTAAATTTATATTTAAATTTCTAATTGTCAGAATGAAGAGTCGGAAAAGTCTGCCAAAACATATACAGTCTTAGACTTATTGAAGACATCAAATCTCCGTAAATATACGCTTATATTCTGGTTCTCGTGGATTGTCGTCGGTTTGGTTTATTACGGCTTTAGTCTAAATATGGATGAATTTGGGGGCAATTTTTATATAACATTCCTATTGTCAGGAGTGGTTGAATTGCCCTCAGCTTTCATCTCAATCACTGCTCTCAGATATATAGGCCGAAGAACAGCGTTGATTATATTCCTCGTAATAATAGCCGTGTCTTCGTTGGCTATAATCCCGACCACTGACTCCACATTGAAAGTGACGTTTGCATTGATCGGCAAGTTTGCTGTCGGAGCTCTTTGGTGGATATATGAGGTCTATGTTCCAGAAGTATATCCAACTGTACTCAGAAATACCGGAGCTGGCACTTCATCATCATTTAGTAGAGTAGGATCGATGGCCTCCCCATTCATGAAAAATTTGGTTAGATTTTGATTATACCTTCAATTTATTCTTAATTGTTACTCAAATTACAATTTGCTTTTTATTTGGTATTAAAGGCTGCGATTACAAGTCTGACATTTGTGATGACATTCTATGCAATCATTTCACTATTTATCGCAGTTTTGGCCTTATTTTTACCCGAAACTAAAGGTATTGAAATCCCCGACACATTAGACGAAGTGGAGACACAAAAGACACAAAAATGAGTTTTTCAATTAATTTGTTTTGACTAAAAAACACATTTAGTATATTTGTATACTATTATAAGTTATTTTATATAGTAATTACTAAAATGTAAATGTATCAATATTATATGAATAAATTTTATAAACTATGAAACGCAAACATAAAGTGTAAAAATAATAAAGAAAAATAATTATTAATAATGTACAATCATGGCTTTACAATTTTTTAATAACAATTCTACAATATAATAAATATTTCATTAATAATTTTCAGTATACAATATTGTTTATTGCCTGAATAATTAAATATGAAGTTTTATGTAATCGATAATTAAAGATTCTCTATCTTTAATTAAAACAAACCTTGATTCAATGTTTAAAAAATGTGTTTTGTTAAACTAATATTTATTTAATTTTAGAATTCTCGATAAAAATATATTAATTTCTTTCATTCAAATTATTTCTAAGAGTTAGATTATTTTGCTGAACACTTGTTAGACGACTGATAATTTAGATGTACAAATTAATAATCATTCAAATAGATTAAAAAGTGTTATGATACAAATGAATATATGTTAAGAATTATAAACGTAAGAATTATTGCCCTTTTCAAAGTAATAATTGCATAGTAAATAATGTTTATGATATGATAGTTACCTGTTTATTGTGTTTAAGTTGTAATTGTTGTCAACATAAAAATATTTTGTATTAAATTATATCTAATAACTAAATCAATTTCATGTTTTGAATAAACAGTTACACATGTATTTTCACATCGTTTTTCAAAACGTTAAATAATTTGTAAATTCATCTAAAATACGAAATTCAAGTGAAAGTGCAATTTTGAGCAACAGGATTGTCTTATTTGATCAAAAACAAATATTTACTGCATTTGGTATATCCGTCTCATTCGCTTATATAAGCCTTATACAAAGTACTCTATAAGTGACTATAAAAGGCTTTATTTTTAAAAAGTATTTAGTCATTCAATTGTTTTATTCATTACTTGCAATTACAGTAAACTATGATATTTATTGAATTAAACTATTAAAATAATTCTTATACCAATTATTAATGTGAATTTTAATATACCAGATAATTTTCCATGTATTAATTATTCTACAGTAAATATTTAAAATAAAAATGTTTTATAAGATGGTATCAACATTTTGTGATCACATATATCTTGGGAGCAATTCGTTGATGTCCCAGCTCACTTTCTCGTGGATTATACAATTGTTTCAAAAGGGATACGAATGTGAGTTGGAATCCACTGA